CCGGAGCTTGGTGAGCAGGTCCCTGCCCATCAATGGGGCCCGGCATTCTGGGATCACTAGGAAGGAGTGATGGACTTTTTTTCTCCCCAGGTCCATGGTCCTCTTAGTTGTCCAAGCCCGATATTTACTGCCTTTAGCCCCTTGAACCAGAGACCTTTTATTTGACAGAGGGCCCAATGGAGTCTTAAGGGCTAAGTATACTGCCCCTGTATCCACTTCAAAATTTACTGGGGTCCCCTCCACTTCAAAAGTTACCCTGAGCTCGGGGAGGGGATCCGAGCCGCAACTTTCCTAGTCATCCTCCAGAGTCAGAATGGCTGGCTGGCGTGGCTGCTTCTTTCTAGGGCACTCTTTGGCTCAGTGTCCTTTTTCTTTACAGAGGCTGGGGTGGCCTCTGGCGTGGGCCCAGGTATCCCTTCCTGTCTCCCTGTTTCTTAATTTCTGGCCTATTTGCTCTTGTAACCAGGACCTTAGTCAACGCCTTAGTCTGTCTTTTGTTTCTCTCATCCTCCTTTTGCTCCCTTTCTTTCTCCCTTTGTCCCTTCTCTTCCTCAGTTTCTCTCTTATAGTATACCTTCTCGGCTTCTCTGACTAAATCTCTCAAAGTCATATCTTGTAATCCATCTAAGTGTTGTAACTTTCTTTTAATATCTAGGGCAGCTTTCCCAATAAAGGCCATCGTGACAGATGCCTTTTGATCCTTTTGAGGATCAAAAGGAGTATATCTCCTATATGCCTCCATAATTCTCTCTAGAAACATAGAGGGAGATTCATCAGGCCCTTGAATAATCTCTCTTACCTTGGCCAAATTAGTTGGTCACCTAGCGACCGCTTGGAAACCCACTATTAGAGCCCGGCGATAAGTGGACAGATGCTCCCTACCTTCAAAGGTGTTGGGGTCCCAGTTGGGTTGGTTCAAGGGAAAGCCGGCTTCAATTATGTTGGGAAGTTGTGTCGGTCGCCCATCTTGTCCAAGGATATTTTTTTTTCTAGCTTCCAGGAGGATTCTCTCTCATTCCTCTGTCATGAAGAGAGTCCCTAGGAGTAGTTGGCAGTCATCCCAAGTAGGCTGGTGTGAAAACATCAATGACTCAACCCGACCTGTGAGCCGGGTGGGGTCCTCGGAAAAAGGGGGATTGTTATTTTTCCAGTTATATAGGTCTGAAGAGGAGAAAGGCCAATACTGGTAGGCTTGCATTTCTCCCCCATGGCCGTCGTTAATCATTGGCCCGTAGGGATGGAGGGGGAGCATCACGGGAGCTTCAGGGTTTTCAATCATTCGCCACCGGTGAGTTCCTTTAGCCAGGCCAGCTTCCTCCAGGGGAGGAGGGGCTGTGTGTGACGTGGGGGAATCATCTGGAGGGCACTGGGCTGGCCTAGCTTCCTCCAATGGCGGAGAGGCTGAGTCAGCAGCAGGGGAATCACTTAGAGGGTGTTGGGGGTTGGGGGACGAGGGCAGGGGATAAGGAGGGGGAGGAGAGTCCAGTAGAGTCAAATCTTGAGACTCAGGGAGAACAGAGGGTGGAGGAGGGGGAGGAGGAGAGGGTTTGAGAAATAGAATCGTGGGGGAACGAGTAGGAGCAGGGGCAGGGACAAGGAAAGGCTTTACCCATGGAGGAGGAGATTCACAGAGGTTCTGCAAAGTAAAGATATATAGCTGTTGATCTGGATGGCTATGTGGCCCCGGCTGAAAGACAATATCTCTGACTTTTTGAATTAGTGGGAAGTAGAAAGATCCCTCTGGGGGCCATCTGACTCCAAAGGTGGGCCATTATGAGGCACAGAGAGTCTTCCGGATCCGGCGTTTTACTGAAAAAGAAAGATTCTGAGCCCTTAAGTGGACTTTGGTCCAGTGATCAAGGGTCAGGGACAGAGGCGTTGAAGTGCTCTTTCCCATAATGAAAGATACACAAACAGTAAAAGCAACGACACATGACACAGACAAAACAAGACAATAAAGACAGACAATGGACGTCCAACACCGAGATCAGGACTGAGTAGCCGGCAAAACCCGATGGGCTGGCAATACTGAATCCGAAACAAAATATCACTGAGTCGAGGAGACTATTGTTCCTCGATTTCCCGAGTCCTCTGGGGCGTCCCCCAGAGACATGGCCTGTGGCTCTGTGACACGTCTGTCAGCCACCATCGGAGAGAGCTCACGCTCTTCACCGACAGCCACTTTGCCAAGCCCTAACCTGAAACCTGAAACCAGAAAGAGGCGCCTTACTTACTCCGAGAGGAGCCCATTGGGGTCTTTCATCCGCCACTGCCGGATCTCAGTGGAACCTCCAGATGTAAAGGTCAGGCGAGCGTCGGAGGAAGAGACCACCAAGAGACTGTCTCATGAAACAGCAAAGGGTTTATTGGGGGTCCAGCATGCTGGGGCTCAGAGCTCACTTGAATAGAGCAGAGAGCCCTGGGAACAGCTTAAGCAGAGCTTATATACTTTCCTTGGAGAGGGCAAGGACTTCACATACAGCATAGCCAATCATTGCACGTTTTCTGGGAGGGGTTGTTTTCGTAGAGCAACCAGATGATCAGGGGAGATTTCAACATACATTTAGTGGGCATTTCTGGGATTGTTTTCAACTTCTACATGAGTTTCAGGTTCCAGGAAAACAGAACTTAATTTTTACATTCTTAAACTTTTCAGCTTATACTATCTAGATAGTTTGTATCCTACTGGTTCCCACTGCCACTTAGATGAGTGAGAAGGCTGATATGGTAAGGCAGGAGAGAGATGACTACAGTTTAGACTACAGTTTGTATACTGTTAGGGATACTGAGAATAATAAGCCTTCTGATATTTGAGATATCAATACTCCCAGAGAATCTCTGCCAAGCTCCATTTGAACTTTGTACCTTCAGCTTTGCTTGATTTGGAAACATAAGTGAAGATTAACTAAATTTATTTATTGTAAATGCCTATATTTAAAAATTAAATAAATGGAATTCAGATTCAACCAATCTGAAGCAACCAACAAACTTATATAACTAGGTATTTTTCAGTGGGTTGGTCCAAATAAGGCACTACATAACTGTGACCAATTAATATCTTTTTTTTTTACTTTTCTTTTTTTTTACTTCTGTATTTAATCCTATAAAAGTTTCCCCCACCCATGTTCTGTCAATAGAGCTTGTGAACCACTTCCCCTTTGCTTACTTTTTGATTGTTTGTTGAAATAAACTCTCATAGATGTTATTGTGCCTCAGTTTACTTTTTAACAACTTCAATTACCACCTACACATGGATGATTCATATTTCATTTATATTTCCTAACAATACTTCTCCCTGCTATGTAGACTCCTGATAATCAATTATTTGGCATAGTTCAGAAGTGAAGGTCATAATTATCTACCCAAAATTTAACACAGCCCTATCCTGAATACTAACCTGGTTCTCTCCAATGCTTCTTATCTCGGAAATGACACAAATGTTCATGCAGTTACACAAGCCATAGATTTAAAAGTCATCCTGGAGTCCTGTTCTCACTATAATCTGTCATATGTAGTCTAACATCTAGTTGTCTACTTTGCTTCCTAAATATTAGATGAACAGACTCCTTTGCATCTTTATCAACATTCTCTTGGCTCAAATTACCATTTTCTCTTATAATCTCTCACTAACTAGATTCTCTGAAAATTACCTTTATCCCTCCTCTAGTCTCTTTTCCACAGTGCAATAATAGTCATATTAACAAACATCAATGGCTTCCCATTGATGTTATGATGAAACCCAAAATTTTGGATGTATTCATACATGGTTTGACCCTTTATACCTTTTCCATGTGTGTTTCCTAAAGTAATTCCATTACACCCAAAGGTCTAGGGCCTCTGCTGGGCCTGACTTAGAAGTTTTGCCATAAAACACACAGACACATGCACACAAACACACCTACCTGCATGCACATATAAAATGTATTAAGAAACATAGGAGGGCTCTCTCATTTAGTCCTGATAGAGTGCAACCCATATCCCAAAAATCTACTCTGAGATTAACACAAGGCCCTGGGAGAACACATGTCCACATCTCTTTTACATTTTAGGATTTCTTCTTACACTTAGGACCTATCTCAAGGAGATCTTTTTGTATGGTATGGCAGTTGAGGTTCTTCCAAAATTTATAAGAAATGCATAACCAAAATGTTGTTTTAAAGGAACAAATTTGGAGGACTTATACTTCCCAACTTCAGAAGTATATTACAAACCAACAGTGATGAGAATATTTGGTATTGGTACAAAGACAAACCCACACTTAAGACAGTCAATTAATTTATGATAAAGAGGCTAAAGTAATTAAATGGAAAAAGAAAAATATTATAATCAATGAAACTGAAATAAACTTATATTATATGGGGTAAAAAGAACCTCAACTGCTATATCATACAAAAAGATCTCCTTGAGATAGATCCTAGGTCTAAGAAGAAATCCTAAAATCCTAAGGCTTTTAGGAGAAAAGATGAAAGAATAAAAACAATGACCTCAAAATACTGTGGAAGTTTGTAGATAACTGCCAATAACAGGAGAGGGACACTCCACAATGCAGGGAGGAGTTGAGCAACGGAAACTCTCAGGTAAAGACTAAGTTAAAATCAATTACTTTGTTAATTTGTTAAATCCTTCTCTGAGACCATAAAAGTAATAATGGATTTGGGGAACATTTTACAATGTTTATCTGAATGTTTCTTCTATTTGCTCCCAACAGTCTATAAGCTATATAAGGCAGGGACTTTGTATCCTTTTGCAGACAGTCTAAGGTGCTTATCACAGTCATATAGTAAATAATAACTATTTCTATTAAGCAAATGAGTAAATTTAGAATTATGCATAGTGGCAGAAGTCCTTGGGCAAGTTACTTACTTTCTCTGAAATTTAGCTTTTCAGCCAAAATGAGAATAAACACACCTACTTCATAAGTTTGTCTACAGCAACATGTCACAAAAAGCATACAACTCTTGTACATGCAGTTCCATAAATTATAAAATATTCATCTTTACCTTGATCATGATTTCCCAGATCTCTCCCCACTTATTAACAGTATGCTTAGTTTTCCAAGTTTTCAGAACAGTCTGCCTGGAAACAAAAACATAGTGTACAATTAAACTGGAAAACTAAACCCAATCCCTCTTTTGTTTTTGCTGCCAGATTTTTTTTTTACTGAGAACTATAATGAACTAGTATATCTGAATTGTAATTACAGAGGAGCTAGTTTGTTGGGTGGCTCTATTGTGCTTACACAAAATTTGATCCCACATTACCTCTCTTAACCCCCCATTTGTAATTTAAAATTCTTTCATACTCTTCTATTTATGTACAGAGGGCATCTGAATGACAAAACACATTAAAAAATCACATTTACAAATACATTCTATATTGGCAATTATTCATTATTGGTTGCCACTACCTTTTACCATATAAATCTTCAATGTGTGATTCTAATAGTATTTGTGAGACTATAGATGCCCTTCCAACACTGGCTCTCCAATGGCGTAGACCCCTACTCACCTCCAATGACCTTGTCCCTCACCCCACCTCAACCATTCATTCTCATGGTCATAGTCCTAGAAGTTGTCATTACCAATGTTGAAAGAACTACCAAATCCTAATTTCCACCACCTTGATCATTGGTCTCTATTCCTCTCCTTGCTCCTCTGTCTCCAATATCTTCTCATCTATCCTCATATCCTATTGATGACCATACTTCCTATTTCTCTGAAATAATGGAGACAACTCTTTGTTCTTTTCTCTATACAACAGCTAGATTGATCCCATTAGAATGTTAATTAGATCGTGTCATTTCCCTGGTTGAAACCCACCTTCGACTGACTTATCATCATGTTTATATAAAAGTTAAGCCATGCAATGACCCAAGAGAAGGGTTAAAAAGGAACACCACTGATAACTGTATCCAGAAAATACAAATGTGCTTGAATTCTGAGAGAACAGAAAAGGATCTGACTTCCATTAATTCTCTGAACTTCTCTCCTATTAGCTTTATCTTGCTCACCTTTCTATGGTTGTATGATGCTCCTTAACTTTCCTAGAATACACCTAAATATAAACACTTCAGGCTAGGCCTTTTTCGCCATGATTCTCTTTGCCTTAAGTGTTCTCCAAGATATCCACTCAGTTTGCTGCCTCATCTCCTTCAAGTCTTTACTTTCTTCAGTGAAGTTAGACTTTCCCTTTAACCTACTATCTAAAACTACCTGATCTCTATCCTTCTTTAAACTTATTTTGTTGTTTTTAGCCCTTATCATTATCCAATGTGCCATATATTCTACTGATCTCTTTAGTTGGTGTCTGTGTTCTAACAAACACACTCAAGTGTATAAGCTCCTTTTGGACAAGAATTTGGTAAAAAGGCATTTTGTTTTGTTTTGTTTTTTGTTCCAGTACTACAAGAGGATAGAATGCCTATAATAAACATTCACCTGTAAGCCTGACTGGAAGCTACTGAAATTCTTATGCAGTGCAGAAAGCTTGGCTCAGCTAACATAGTCTATCACAGAAGAACGAGAATTTTAGCATCTGAAATGTGGAGTGGATAGGTAAAGAAAAAGTTCATGTAAAATATTAAGAGAATAAAGATTATACTCATATATTAGAAGTAGAGAAAGAAAAGAAGAGGACCTTAAAAACACCTTATGGAGAAGGAAGTTGTTCTTAACTTGGCCTTAAAGTCAGTGAATGGAACTGGAAAGAGAAAGGAGAAAGAAGAGCTCTCTAAGCAAGGAAAAAAATATATTGGGAAATTAGGGAAACAGAAATTATGGTGTCCTAGTTTGGGTTTTTCCACAGCAGATCTTGAGATGGAGGTAGTTTACTTGGGTGTAATACCAGGAAGCATAAGTGAAGAAGGAGGGAAAGTAATGCAGACAGTATAGAGAAGGCAATGCAGTGTATGAAAATGAGTGTGTAACCACTATGGGCTCAACTGTCCTGGGGAACTCAGAGACACTGTATTAGTTTACTCTCACTGCTATAACAAACAATCACCAAGTTAGTGACTTAATTCAAACATATTATCATATATTTCTTTTTTAAACGTTTACTTTTTTTGGTTGTAGTTGGACACAATACCATTATTTTATTCATTTCTTTTTACATCATGTATTTCTGGATACCAGAGGTACAAAAACAGGTCTACAAAGCTGAAATCAAAGTGTCAACAGAACTGCATTCCTTCTGGTGGTTCAACAGGAGAATCTATTCCTTGACTTTTCTGGTTTCTATAGGTTACTTACATTTTTTGAGCAACGGCCTCTTCCAGAGTGTCATCAATCTGCCTCCATCATCACATCTTTCTTATAAGGACCCTTGTGATTACATTGGGACCACCAAGATGATTCTTTCCATATCAAAATTCTTAATCTAATTGCATCAATCATCAAAGTCCTCTTTGTCAAGTTAGGTAACCTAGTCACAGGTTTTGAGAGCTCAGATGTAGATATCTTTGGGGGAGCCATTATTTTGCCACTAAAGAAACCATGTAGAAAACTCTTCAGAACAATTCACCTACCACCAAGGACGGGAAACTTGAGCATATTGCTCTGACTTGATTATACCTATAAAAAGGTGAGGAAATTCACAGATGGAGAAGAAAGCCATCTGGCAGAGAAGAAAGTGCCAGAAACATGATGCTTTCAGGTCGAGGGAAGGTCATCACTGTATCTGTATCCACAATATGAACAGAAGATAATTAATAGGGTGTATGCAAGGAAATCATAGGAAATAGAATTGAACAGATAAGACAAGCAAAGATTATGCAGTGCCACAGAAGCCAAATAATTGACTTTAGGAAAACATAATTTTTTTAAAAATATATGAATTTTTAAGAAAGATAATGAAGGCAAAACTTTAAGGATATTTGTCTCATAGGAAAATACTGGGAGCCTAATATCAATAATGTCTCCTAAAGTCCAGAGTAAAGAGGATGGAATTCCATGACTCAAAGTATAGACCTGAGAACTGAGAGTCAGGACATAGTGAAGGCAAAAAGGAAAATAAAGGTCTAAGTACTAAAAATAAGGATCAAAGGACAAAGAAATCAAAGAGATCTTGATGTTTCTAACTTAAAAGGCTAAAATAATAGACAGGTTCAATTTCAGGTTCATTAAATTTGAGATGAGATGATATTGGTATATCCAACTTGAGCTGTTGTGGCATAAAAATTCCTCTAAACTCTTTTCTGTGTGTTTCTTATTCAATTGGAAAACTTATTTCATGTAGAAATGGGCAAACATTTTGACATTTTTTCATCATTACACTGGCATTAGTATATTTCCAGGCAACTCTTAAAATTCATCCATATCACTTTGATGGAACACTTAATGAGAAAGTAGACTTTTTGAAAAAAGAGTTTTAGACTTGTTATGTAAGTTCTCATATTACTATGGTACTTCATACACACTGACAAACCAGGAAAGCAGAATTATATATTGAAAATCCCATTGATCTTCAAGTTCAAACATGGATCACACCTACATTACACCATCTAATCATCACATGTCTTAACTGTGCAAATTAGGTGAATCACTAAAATGATTTAAGT